CACAAGTCCTCTGGATGCAGAAAGAATCATGAATAGTTGATGCAAGCAGGCTTCACAGCCATTCTCATCCAGGGACCACTCAGTGGCCTGGATGCATTTGGCTAACTTCATACCACATATTGATAGCGTCCCACTACATCTCTGTCTAATGTGTTGCATGAATCCAACCCATGTGAACATTTACAGTTCAGGGTGTTATGCGAATCCCCAAATATCCCACAGGTGCTTTATTTTCAAGAGGCAACTGGACTTTCTTTGAAGACGTTTTGCTTCTCATTCAAGAAGCTTCTTCTGCTCTGACTGGATGGTGGGGAATGGGAGGATTTATAAACCCCCAAATAGTTTAATTCAACCAATCATGCTTGGGGGAACTCAATCTTTAAGAATACTTCCATCTAGAACCATCCGCTGAATAGTTGGACCATGGATTTCATAACATTTTCCTTTGAATCAGTGTCTGTGTGATTGTGTTTAAATCACACAACTCTTTAAGGCGTATTATGTTCTGTGCCCAGATCTGTTAAGTTTTCTCCTTGGGGTAAATGCTACTTGATGAAAACTCATCATGGCAAACACATAAAACTGTTTTTTATTATTATTATTAAAAAGTTTTTTTCATCAACATATTTAAATGTACAGTCTCTTATCCATCATTATTCATTCATCTTACCTTTTTACTTTCATTTGTTAATTGTTCGGGACTGCTCTTTTACCATTTCCTGTCCTTTATTTTACCACAACCTTTCCTCTTCCTCTTCCCTTCTCTTCCTTCTTCTATCTCTTTCTACTTTCCTCATTCTTCCTCTCCTTCCCTTTTCTACTTCCTCTCCCCTTTCCCCACTCCTCTCTTCTTCCTCCTTTCTAACCCACTCTCTTACTCTTCTTTCCCCTTCCTTTTCTTCCTCTCCTTTTCCCTCTCTTCTGTTCTTCTCTCTCCTTACCCCCCTACTCCCCTCCTTCCCTCTCTCTACTTCTCTCTCCTTTTCCACTACCTTGTTGTTTCCATTTTCAATTCAATCTAAAATGGTATTCGAGCAGCCCTGATTTTCTATTTACATACATCTTAATTTCAATTTTTTTGGCTTTATAATTACATCTCCTCTATCATTTTTTGTTAACTTTCCCTTCATTGCCTATATTTGAATTTTTCCCATGACAGTTTTTTTTAAAGCAAAAATGTTTCTATTCATGCAAATTCATAGTATTTACTTCTCTATCATTCTCTTCTCATCTCATTTTGTTCAAAAGTTGTAGAGGGAATCTTTCAATTTTTAAAAGCAACTTTTGGAGACTAAGAAATTGTATTGCAAGGATAGTTGTATGCCTTGAAAGGGATTCAGGAAAGGTAACTACCCTAGATTTGATTAGAAGCAATTTCTACTGAATCCAAGCCATCACTGGATTTTTCTGATTAACATTATCTATTTCTTCAAATTAAAAAGTACCATTTTATTTTCCTACAGAAAGATAGAGATAGAGATAGAGATAGAGATGTGGATATCCCAACTTATAATTTCATTGCTTTGCAAAGTGGAAATTTATTTTTCCTTAGCTGAATTATAACATTCTTTTACCTGTTCGGTAAAGCAGGGTAGCTTTGGAGTTGACAGGATATTACTGTATTTTGGATCTTGAAATTCTGCAACTGCTTCTTCATGTATTCCATCTGTCTTACATTCTTGGAGAGATTTTGTTGAAATGGTGATAATGCTAAACTTCTAATAAGCTTGGATAGAAAGCAGAGTTAGTAGTTGCTAAGAATGAAGCAGGGAGAAAGAGAGAATAGGTAAAATAAAAGTACTGTATTTATATTCTGAATGGGAAAAATGGCATTTTTATTTATAGGCATCCTATCCCCATACAGTGATGGTGCATTGTTGCTCTTCTGAATTTTGCATCTGGCAAGAACCAATTTATAATATAATAGTCCTGATGTGATTAAATTATCTTATTTTTTGGGGGGGGAGAGCCATTTTGGCACTAAAAACAAAAGTTTAGAGGGCAGATCTTTTTTCCCTCCCTTTAAAAGCCAAATATTCAGACATGCTCCTAAGAGCCTCACAAAGGGTGCATTGCAGTGGTGAAATCCTACCGGTTCGCACCAGTTCAGGCAAACCAGTAGTGATAAAATCTACCGATTCGGTGAACCAGTAGTAAAAAAAAAAGCTACCAGTTCGTCCGAAGCGGTATTTCTGATGATCAGCTGTGCCGTGCAATTTATATTCACTAGAAAGCAGGAAATCCAGCTTTCTAGCGAATCTAAATCGTGTGGCATAGCTGTTCCCTCCTCGCTGTTCTACTTACCTTCAAACGGCTCTTTTTTCAGCGTAAAGCACGCATTTGGGGTGCACTGTGCATACACGCACATGCAGCATGCATTTGGTGTGCACTGTGCATGCATGCACAGCGTGCATCTAGCATGCACTGCGCATGTGCATGCACGCAGCATGTATCTGGCGCACATCACGCATGCATGGGCAGCAAACTGATAGCGACTTGTGGAGGATTTCACCACTGGTGCATTGTATAGGGTTAACTGGTATATATAATTGCCAATGAAAATTATGGCCTTGGTGCTAATGCCATGATTTGTACACTGATATTCAGTGCCACGTTAGAGAAAATGAAAGAAAGATTTATCATTCCAAATGATGACATCGCAAGCTGTCCTCCATTTCCCATACTAGTACGTTAAATACCTTTTCCCAATAGGGCTTCTGGTGGATGACACAGAAAGCAGTAATTTGTCAGATGTAATGGTGCAGAGATCAGCCACAGAAGACCTTCTTCCCATATTGCCTTGATAATCTTGAAGCTTCACACTTCTAATCAAATAGCTATTTTTTTAAAAAAAAAAAATCTTAGTGGAGATGTTGACATCTGTGTCTCTGTCTTTCAACTCTTAATAGGTTTGTTGCAGATAGATATAATTGGCTTACAATCTACAGTTGTCAAGAAGAATCTGTCCAAAAGGCCTCCATAATTATTAAGTTTAAAAAGGGGCGAAAAAAGCTTTCACATAGTTGCTTAGAACTGCTTCATGTTTTGGGAAAGGATAAAGAAATAGCAAATTTGAGGGAAGAGGAGAGATCACATTGTTGTACAATTAATAACCAAACAAGAATTGTACACTTTCTTTCCAGGGTTTCAATGTTACTTGGTTGGGTGAGATAGATTTCTTATCATTATCCTCAAACAGTTGATGAATCAATACAGATAAATTGAGCAAAATGCAGAGACACAATGAGGTGAAAAATAAGGAAAGATAGTTTGAGTATGTGCTGAGAAGGAGAATTATAACTCAGGGCATAAATTAGTTATTATAGCGAGATGATAAATACAGGCAGAGTCTTGACTGCTGAGTTTTATACTGCGTATTTTTAATTCAAAGTGAATATGGGTAATACATATCTTATATATCATATAAGATATATGAGATATATATCTACCTTTATGGATCTATTATATAAAAACTTTATAGAGGTCTTTCTCACCCATTGTATTAAATATAAATCAGTTCCTTTCTATAACTCTCCAACACAGATAGGCAGACAAAAGTTGTTTGTAATAGGTCACCCTATCTCTAAATTATTGCTTTTTGCTGATCTTCCATTAAAATTATGATGGTCTCATTGTCATTATCCAGCCCCTCTCTCCTAGCCGCCTTATATGCAGGGCTCATAATAATTCATGTACACAATGGAAGATCCAATTTTTTGAGGACTTAGGCTTTACTTGAATGTTATACCTGGAGACTGGAGGAAGAAAACAAAATTGATTGGGCCTAGATTCTGGATTTAGCCGCCCTGAGTCTTCAGAGAGGGGTGGCATATAAATTGAACTAATTAAATTAAATTAAATTAAATTTTAGCCCCTGAATCAGTGGTGGGTTGCTACCGGTTCTCCCTGGTTCTTGTGAACCGGTAGTGGAAATTTTGAGTAGTTCGGAGAACCGGTAAATACCACCTCTGCCTGGCCCCACCCCCAATCTATTTGCTGTCTCCTGACTCCCAGCTGATTGGCTAGAAGGAAAAAAATCAGGGCTCACTTGACAAAGAAGAGAAAAAAAACAAGACACCTTAGCTTTAAATTGAGAAGCCAAGAAGCCTCTCAATTGATCGGCTAGAACCGATCCGCTCCTTGTAAACCGCTCGGTGGTGGTAGATTGGCAATTGAGGCCAAGCTGCTTGAAAGCTGTTTCCGATGCTCTTGGTGGTGGCAGAGCAGTAAAAAACTGTTTAAACTCTTGCCACGGCGCTTCAAAGGGCCGCCCTACAGCTGATCAGCAGTAAAAGGCAGTGTGGTGGTAGACCAGTGCGCTTCAAAAACAAATAGGTAGACCGGAATGCTCCAAAAACAAATGGGTAGACTGGTACTGTTCTTCAAGCAGTTAAAAGCCTGGTAGACCAATATCTCTGCTAAATCCTAAAGAATTGTTTGTCACATGACCATCAAACCATGCCCACAAAATAAGCCATGCCCACAGAACCAGTAGTAAAAAATTTTAGAACCCACCCCTGCCCTGCATCAATGAACAATGGTGAATTGGGACTCTAGAACAAAAGATGACTCAAGCTGATTAAATGATCTTCTCACACACACGCTTACCCCTCCATCGAGAAGTCAAGTTTCAATCTGTGATTTACCAAAACTAATTCATTCAATGCATGACTGTATCTTTGTACTTCTAGTAGGTAACAAAAACAAAAGGCAACCCAAACTGTCCGGTTGTCTGGAGCAGTATTCATCAATCTCAATACTTTACAATGGGTGTGGACCACAACCAGCTAGGGAATTGTGGGAGTTGGAAACCCCCTATCTTAAAGTTGCTGAGGTTGAGAGATATTGCTCCAGACCCAGAACCCAAAAGTACGTAGAACTTCAGATAGAAGAGTAAATTAAATGGGAATCAGATACCCATTTAATCTCCTCTACATCTGTGAGGAATCCATCAACCGCTTTTGGAAGGGATTAATCTACTCATTCCCCCTTTCTTGCAGGATAAAGAAGTCAACCTAGAGCAAGTCCATCGGCGTATGAACAGTTTAATTGATGAAGACTTAGCTCACAAGCAACTGTCCCCCGCCTCCATCGAAATCTCAGCCTTGGAGATCGGTGGCATGTCATCCAGCCAGGCCCTGGAGCCTGTCCGTGAATATCAGAACACACAACTTTCTGTCACATCTTTTTTACCTGAACAGACAGGACACGGGGGAAGCAGGACACTCTCCGGTGCCTCTGGGAGCAACCTGCAGCTGCCACTGAGCAGCACTGCCACAATACCCTCAATACAGTGTAAACACAGATCGCCGAATGGAGGACTATTTCGCCAAAGCCCCGTGAAGACCCCCATTCCCATGTCATTCCAGTCTGTGCCAGGCGGGATTATTCCAGAGGGCCTGGAACCATCCCACGGAACATCCATATAAAGGGAGTCATTGACCAGCAGAGATTTTTAATACAACTGGGGGAAATTTAAAAAAAAAAAAAAGACTCTTACATTTTTCTTGTACATATCTGTAAATAATGAAAGAATGAAGTGGGGTTAAAAAAAAAGTGTATTTTGAATATTCCCAATTTTCAAAGTCAGTAAAAAACAAACAAACAAAAATGCAAAAAAAAAAAAGAAAGAAAAAAAGAAAGAAAAAATGTACGAAAGACTTTGTAAATTTTGTTCTCTATGAATAAAAAAAAAAGGCAGAAGAACTTGTGAATCTTCTCAAGTGACAAAGACAACCTTTATTGGAACCAAAGGCAGGAAAAATGTCTTTGGATTTTAACAAATGGTACTTTTCCCCCCCTCCTAATGTTTATTTTGATTTCTTGTTTTGGAAGCAGGGACAACTAACGCTTCTTGGGAATGGAGTCAGGGGAGAACCTTTCTACTTATTTTTCTCTTGTATTTGCTATTCTCTCATGCTCGCAGCTCTTCTGAAAGTTTAACGGGGTGGGTACCCCTGAAATGTTAACACCAGGCTGGTAATAAATGTGGCGTGGCCAAGTTTCCTTGCTGCGATTTAACAATGGGTACTGTCAACAAAGTTTTGAATGATAGGATCGATCCTTGATCCATTCTGAAATATATTTGGTTGGTGCAGAAGTATCCTTCATATAGAGGAAAAGTTTCAAGTCTGAGTTGGTGAGTGCTATCAATAACCAACATTCATTCTAATCTCAGTTACATAAACTTCCAGCAATGTCATTGAAGATACATTGAAAACAAGTATAGGAGAACTACAAGTCAAGCGTTTGCTTGCAGACATTCCTCTTCATCCATCTAATTGGTAGATGTCCAAAGGTTTCTGGTGGATCCAGATGAAATGGGGGAGTATATACAGTATATTAAACTTTTGCGGTTTATGATGAATGTGCAAGTTACTGCCAATATGGCTAATCAGAATTATTCTTCCTCTTCCTCATCCATTTAGTCATACAGATACAACAAAAATGAATTATGGCTTCAGTGAATCAAGCACTGAGCAATTTTTCAAGCTTGATTTCAGTGATATGGTCAAAATAGACGGCAATTTGTTTTGTGTTTGAAGATTTGTTACATATTAGGGACAGTTTTGAAGAAGGAAGTGTAGTTCAAAATGTTGTACTTATAATGAGGAAACAAGGCATTTAGTTTGTTTCCTTTTCCACTTTCCCATGGATTGGACTATACACAAATTTCAACATAATGCTGAATTCTTATTCCTTCCATTAATATTTACAGTATATAGGCTTTGCTGCCAATTTCATGTGATGGGTCCACAGTTCTCAAACTCACAAGGATGCTGTGGGATATTTTAAAGTACTAGCTCAAGGTAGTTTTGGTCTAGAGCTGTTATGAAAAAAAAAATACGGAAAAAATTATGGAACCTGAACTGAGAAAGTTTGGGATAGGTTATCATTGGTGGTATACAGAAAAGATGAAATGTCTTCACTTGATGTGTGGGAATCTCCAAATGGAACAACCTTTGTGATCATCCACTTTTAAGTCCATACTGTCAGGGGAAGGAAGGGAGGGAGGGAGGGAGGGAGGGAGGGAGGGAGAAGGAAGGAAGGAAGGAAGGAAGGAAGGAAGGAAGGAAGGAAGGAAGGAAGGGTCCAAGGATACCTCTCCCAAATCCCTTCACCGTATTGTTCCTGTTTGCTCTCCATCACTTCTCTCAGGCCTTATGAACACAAACTGCTGATCATCTGATACAATTCTGACAATTTCAACCTGTAGCCATGTAAGTACATCCTAAAACAATTAAACAAAGTCACTCTCCTATGTAGATCATTTCCCTCACCAGGTTGAACATGAAGCATGAAGTGATCTCACTTCCTTTATTGCAATCCAGAGTGGGGTGTGGAAAAGGAAGACTTGTAGACTTCTTAACCTTTTCATTTCAATGGCCACCACCGGGTTGTCTCTTTCCATGCCTGATATAACATGACAGGACTAATTCCAGAGTGCACTGTATATAGCAGAGGACTTTTAACTGAGTTAAGAACACTGCAGTGCTCTTAATGTCAACTGTTTGTTCATTTGGGCAGGTTCCTCTGGAAGGAACACCACCATAGCATATGCACGCATAGCAACACAGAGACACACAGAGAGACCACTTTCTTAGTTAATAGTAAATCATCTAAAAGAGAAAAAATGGTGCTTGAAAAATCCAGTTGACCTGAATCTCCACCCAATGGGTCTTTCAATCTTGGCAACAGTTTTTCATAGTTCTTGGCTACTGTAATTATTATTTACCTAATGTATTTGCAGATTCACACTGCTATTGTCTTCAAAAGGGAAATTTCAGGATTAAGCATGGATATTAAAATATCAGCTATTGCTTTCAACCAAAACACAAGATTGAGTTATTTTGGCTCTGCAAGCAATAGAAGTCATGTAAAAAAAATATATCTTCCTCTTTCCGTGTTGAGGTGGATGGTACTGCCATGGGAAAAATACAAAAAAAAGAACATTAAGAGGAAGGATAAATTTGACAGCTCAACGGCTGAAATACGTATTAGAGGCCTTCAAGTAATTAATTAGCATAAGAATTTGAAGTTTTATTTATAGCAAAATGCACAATGGCTGCTTCTAATCTGAATTTCCCAAATATATTTCAACTACTATATTTCCCTGAAAATAAGACCCTGTCTTATATTTTTTTGAGCCCTGAAATAAGTACTTAGCCTTATTGCCATGCGCTCAAAATCCCGATTGGGCTTATTATCAGGGAATGTCTTATTTTGGGGGAAACAGGGTATTTGTGCAAAGGAGAAATTAATAAAGTACTAATAATGCTTTATCTTTCAGTAATGTCCTTTTGCAGTGATTAAGGAAGGTGTCAGCTTTGGAAGCCATATTAGACCAGAAGCTTCCATGCTGCCACCTTCTCACGTGTGGGAAAGTAGGAGGGGGAATTTAGTAGAGAAGTTGTCTTTAGACATAATAGCATTCTTCCTGTCGGTCAAGGTCAGGGCGATCCTGCATCTGGAGAAGGAGTGGTTGGAGTGCTGAGTTGAGATGGGATGGCGGTTGATTGGAGCATGTGATTGACTGAGGAGTGAGGGGATGGTTTTGGGGGTTTTGATTTACTGAGGGAAAACCCGGACCTCTCCGATTCAGGTTTTCCCAGATGTGCCAGTTTACCTATTCTAGTAAATGGAACTTTGAAAAATAATTGTTTCAGAGTTTTACATGGAGTTGGGGGTGTTGTGGTCCGCCAGCAGCCTGCGGGGCTGGCAGCGGAGTCGGACAGCGATGAGACCGAGGAAGAACATGGGCCAGACCTGGAGGCTGGGGAAGGCCCAGATGAGGGCTCTGCGTCGGAGGTAGAGATGGGGCCACGGCCATCGGGGAGTGATGTACGGACTCCGGAGCCTCCAGAGGCTGACAGCAGAGAGGCAGAGGAACAGGAGGAGCCTGTTCCTAGTACACACATGAGAAGAGCTGCCAGAAGGCAAGAGCAGCTCAAGCAAAGAGAACAACTCCGGAGTAGGGTCAAGAGATGATTGGCCCCTCCCATAAGGCTTAAAACAGACCAGCAACAGCGTTTGGGCTTTGCCGGAAAACAATGTTGGTAGCTTCATCGTCTTCTTCGTCTACGTCTTGTATTTATTTTTGTATCTGTGACTTCTGAACGTTTGCCAAGAAAGGCCTTTGACAGTTTGCCTAATTGGACCAAGGTTTGAGATAGGACTGAGGAATTTGTGTTGGGAGGAATTTGCTTTAATTTAGTTGAACGACACTGGGAATGAAGTAATTCTCAGCTGTTCGAATAAAGTTTGTTTGTTTTTTTTCAATGACAGTTTGTCCTACTACTTACTTGGGCCTGGGTCACAACAGGGGGGTTTTCTGGAACGCTCTCAGAAGGCTTCTGTTCCTAAGGCCCATCAAAGCAGAACAGGATGAAATATTTTTCTCTGAAGCCTTGAATAAATTTTTTAATACTAGCATGGTACAGTAAATTTTCAGTCAGCCCGGTTCAAGCCAGGCACTGTAGCTTACTATACATCTAGAATGTGATCTAGATTTCATTATGATCCATTTGATCATCACTTTATTTATGCATTTATTTAGTCACCATTTGATTCTGTAGGCATCAGAGAGATGATGATGATGAAGAAGACTTCTAAAGTGAGATCAGCTCAGAAGCAGGGTGGCAATGTAAGTGTAATGACTTGATCTATATCACTGCCAGCTTTAAAACAATTCGAATGGGAATTCAGCCCCTCTGTGTCACAATCACATGTGAAAATACTTTAACAGGCTAGACCTGAGATCCATGACACACAAAGGCCTAAAGTGCTAACCCAATTCTGGGTAGCATTAGATGAAGAATTATATGACAGACCTGTGGAATGGGATTCTCAGCGCTTAGCTGTTTTCTTTCAGAGGTTTCATTACCCAACTACGTAACCTCATCAGTGATAGAAAGGAGTGAAGTTTGCTCTGTTCATCTACTAGTGACTTGCCCTGTCAGTGTTGGTGGGGCTGATTTTGATAGTTCCTTGACTAGACAGTTGTTCAAGGTTTGATTGTTTATCTGAGTAGGTAGTTCCTTGCAAGAAGTATGGTTTACTTCTTGATTGTTGGTCTAGTGCCGTGATGGCGAACCTATGGCACGCGTGCCACATGTGGCATGCAGAGCCCTTTCTGTGGGCACGCCAACCGTCGCCCCAGCCCAGCTCCACCACACATGCACTCACCTTCCATCGGCCAGCTGGTTTTCGGGTCTCTGCCGTGCATGCATGGGAGCAGGGCCTTCCCTGATGCCTCTCTGTGGCAGGAAAGCAGGAGAAAGCTAGGACGCGATGGAGGGAGAAACTGCAAAGATTGGAGGAGGCACGGAAGGCAGGAAGGCAGGAGGCACTCAGTGGGGGGAGAAACTTTGGAGATCGTGGAAGGCAGGAGGCAGCTAGGATTCTATGGGGGGAGAAACTTTGGAGATCAGAGAAGGCAGGAGGCAGCTAGGACTCAATGGGGGGAGAAACTTTGGAAATCATGGAAGGCAAGGCAGCTAGGATTTGATGGGCGAGAAACTTTGGAGATCAAGAAGGTAGGACAGCTAATTCGATGGGTGAACTTTGGAGATCAGAGAAGGCAGGAGGCAGCTAGGATTCTATGGGGGAGAAACTTTGGAGATCGAGAAGGCAGGAGGCAGCTAGGACTCAATGGGGGAGAAAAACTTTGGAATCATGGAAGGCAGGAGGCAGCTAGGATTTGATGGGCGAGAAACTTT